GTTGTTTTTCAGTCTTTTTTAATTAATTTATTTTGCTCTTCATTGTTTTTGTTTGCTTGGCTTGATTTTGGCCCATATCGTTTTTCCCTCCGTTTTGTTGCTTTTATTTGTGAATTTTTTTTCTCTGTTGTTTTAAGGGGGAAGGCGTACCAACAAAATGGCTTCTGTGACGTCATCCAAACGGGTCTGTAGTAAACAAGTACGCTCGTACGAAACGTGATACTTTAGCATTGGCTACCACTCCACTGCAATGTGACATTTCACAAAGGGTAACAGTCATTATAAACGTTTTGAAAGATATTAAATAATGAAACAGTTTATGGGCACCTTTCTGTCTGAGGTAGGCAGAGGTACAACCTCCAGTATGCGTTGAGTGAGGGTAGACACAGATGATCATACATAATATATTATTTAACGTAATACGCGTGGTTAGAGTGCTCCGCTGATAGACGAGTCACATCTTTATATTCCTTCTGTTGTTTCTGTCTGTTTGTCTTACTCTTCCCAAGCATCAAATGACCATTATTGTGTCAATGTGTGCTTCTCTTTCAGTAAGTCTAACAGAAAACATTTGGTACCAAAATGCTGTCCCTAAATTAATACACTGAACGCTTTTTAACATAAATTGAACTTAAAAACTTTGGGTCTTTTGTATGCCTCTGATGGTTGGTCGTTACATTGTTTTCAGCGATGATGGATATGTACATACAGAGAAGTCAACCCCAATGAAAGAATTCAATATGTACGCTCATTTTATTAATAAGAGTGTACCTAAAAGTTATCCCGTAGTAAGTAGGATTGCTGGCTTCTCATCAGTTCTTTACGACCCATAATGGAACGTATCATTCTGGTGGAAATAGTGTCGACGGACTTAAAGTTATGTGAATATGTGAGGCAGCGTGGTGGAATCAGGCTCTCGTCAAAATCATCAAAGTGAAGAAACCTCCATTTTTCCGCCAGTTTGTGAATTTTTATCAGATTTTTGTTTTTTGGCTCAACACCTTTCATGCCCTTTAAAGAACTCATTTTTGTGTGGATTTTTCTGTAAAACGTTGATTAAAGGTTCAAAAAATGTAAATTTTCAGTTACCATGGACTCTTAAGCTAAGGAAATAACCAATCTTTGACGGCCATATTCTTACCAATTTTACCTCTGAAAATAGGTGACCCCCACCTCCTTCTTTTGCAAATATCTCCACTTGTATTCAAGATTAAATGGGGTTTTTTTTCATTCAAATAAAGACAAATGAACAAGCTTTAAGATGATACCGATAACACTACATGCCCAAAAATTGACAAGCGCCTGATTCCACCACGCTGCCTCACATATGTTATCCGTGGGATCATTCGCTGAGAAAAAAATTTGATTCTTAAAGAATGCAGCAAGGGAAAAGGCTCATTTTTAAAAATAGCTTGTGACATATCTGGGGTTTTTTTCCACTGGAGTCTTCAAGGATATAATATAGCACAAAAGCACACAGAGACACAAAGACACACTACACGCTGTATTCTAACTGATTACACAGGAAACATAAAGAGTGAGTTAGTTACCACGCCTTGACAGTGGCGCGAGGTCGTCTTGTAAAGTGCACGGCTAGTGATGGGGAAAGCTATTTATTACTTGTACATTGTTCTAGATGTACACACAGGAATGCCTTTTCTCCCATCCTACAAAGACTAGCCGCCCTGTGAGGACAATTGCATAGAGACGCTAAACTATTTTTACAAAAATACAACGCATGAACATCAAAAGCACAATAAATCGTACTGTAGTATTGTAATGTGTATGAATTGAAATGGTTTCTCTGACAACACTGTACTGTTTATCGAGCAGGAGCCACCAGTTAGTGTCAACATGTCCTTACAACATCGGCCATAGTTACATGCCAAATAAAAATACTTCAAAGTACATGTACGTGATGGACGGGAGCAGATATGATTGACAAAGTTACGGATAGTCCCGGATAGTGAACTTCTCCGGTAAAAGTAAAATGGCACCTCTATTTCGAACTGCTTGGTCCAATACGCAACTTCCAGAGTCGCACTTAGGGGTAATGGTGGGATCGCAGCTATGCCTTTGAGGAGGATCCTATCGGGGATGGACGTTAAACAGAAGGTCCAGCCTCTTAGATAACCTTAGAACAGACATGGGCAAGTGTGTCCAAATCACGGGTAGGATTAAGTTATCTTGAATATCTCGCAGACCAAAGCAGGAAAACATTGGGAGAAACCCAGTGAAATACCCAATCCTCCAAGGTGAGATTAAAATTAACACAAAGGTGTATGACATTCAAAGGCATTTCTTGAGATAAGTTAATCAATATTACATATATTGCTTCGAACTGTGCCGGAGACTATTGTTTTAAATTTTCAGCAAGACAGAACGCTTTGTTTTAATCTCAATTTTCAACTCACCGCGGGCTAGCTACATTAATTAAATATTAAATACTGGGCCGGGTCAACTCGTGGGCTGGGCTCTAATCGCTCTCGGGTCAAATCTGGATCGAGGACCATAGTTTGCCCATGCCTGCCTTAGTCAGCTGAAGTGGGCACTAAAACCCATACTAAGTCGAAGCAATCGCCACAATACATGTGGTAGGTGTACAAGTATTCTGGACATTCCCCCCATTGGTAATTGAATTCACCCTGGATTATAAACGCGACCAACAAAAATGGACCGGTTTTGGAATCAAAGTATACCCCCCCCCCTCTTTCTCCTCTCGTCGTATTAGGATTATACGCGAGGTCGTGGTACAGGCGAGTATATGTTTTGGTAGAATTCGATTCAGTACTTGTCCATCACCACATTCGGTCCCATGCCCTGGTCCACAGACTTTCTTCTACGTAGACCAGCCTTTGCACTAGACTTGACCCCGGCGCCGCCATTCTTGGACTGTTTCTCGATGTGATGATGACCCTCAGACGCCACACTGTCGCCAGGGGGAATAATCACTGCGTTGTCGTACAGGCTGCTCCCCCCTCCCCCCGGCACCATCCCTCTCTGGACCTCGGCGGGGGGAGGGATGATGCTGATGCTGGGCAGGGCGTTCTGTCGCGCCATCTGGTGTTCTTTAGCGACCTGGATCACACTCTGGCGGGAATTCTGCACCATCTGTTGTGGCATGCGTCTGTGTCCGGGAGACTGAGTCTTGTTAAACGCCGACATGAGCATATCCGGCTGTTTGTCGTTGAGTCTCTTGAAAGCTTTGTTGAGAATGTCTCTCTCGTGTTGGAGAGTACCTTGTTCGTGCCAGTCGGCCGGGATCTGGGGCCGCGCATGTCCGGAGGTCGAAGACGTTTCTTTGAAGCTGGTAGTGACGCGTTTCCTTCCGGACGTCTCAGCGAGCGTTCTGTCGGACGATTGGGACCTGGGTCTCCCCCTCGGCCACGTGCTGGACAGCTGCTCGTTCTCCACGTGTAGCAAAGCCACAGGCTGGGATGGCGAGGGTTCCATGCTCTTGGAGTGTGACGGACCGCGAGGTTTGTGCTTCTCCCTCCCCGCCCCTCCCTCCACTCTTCCAGCAGCGTCCTCCAGCTGATGTATCTCCACACACACCTCTTGTTGGACCGGAGGACCAAGATTCTTCTTCGCTCTCGCAGCATCCAGAGCTTTATTGAGGACTTTGTTCCTTCTTTTCTCCGCTCTCTCATGCTTCTTTTTCACCCTCTCCTCTTCCTCCTTCTGAATGGGAGCATAGATCTCCCTAATCTCTTTCGCGTACTGACGCACGGTCCCCAGGAGATCTGACAGACTCTGTAAACTGATGTCCTCGTCATCGTCTTCGTCTGACGTCCCAGAAGGACGAAGAAGGTCCTGTCTCCTCGTCTGACCTATAGCCTTGACCCTAGGTGACCCTGGCCTTGCCACAGGTACGTACCCAGGAGCAGACAGAGATGAGCCAGGACGTGACTGTTTGACCTGTGACTGCTTAGACCCGGGTCGTGACAGGCTGGGGACAGACGGTGACGCTAGAGTGGCCATCCGTCCAGCAGCTTCGTGTTGACCTTTCACCTCTTCAGCCCACTTCTGTATATCCCCAGAGTCACAACCCACGGAGTCGCCAGAGTCCGACTCACTCTTTGACGAGTGGTGCCGTGAACTTTGACCTTGCCTATCGTTTTTCCTGAGAGAGGCGTGCAAGGCTCGGGGCTGGCGCGGTTGGTGGGCGGGGTCTGAGCCCTGTGATTGATGGCTTGACATGTCGGCGAGTTCTATCATCTCCTCCCCTGTGCCTGGGGGCGAAGGGGACGGACAGCGCACCGCGCCCACCTCGCTGCTGTAGCTTTGTAGAAGACCTTGAATCTCCACACTTTTACTTCTTTGTACGGCCGAAACCGCCGCCGACGGGGATGTCGTGAGGGTTTTACCAACCTTATTCTTGTTATTATTGTTGTTGCTCACACCAGGGCCTTTGTTAATACTGCTGTTGATATTATTGTTGTTATTATTGTTGTTGTGGTTGTTCTTGAGGCTTTTGTTGGGACTACTGTTGTGACTGTTGGTGGCGCTGTTGCCCAGTCTGACGGCGTGGTCTAGAGCTGTGTTGCCGTTGTCATCCCGAGCTCCCATGTCGATGGTGACTGTCCCGCTGCGGTTGTACTCCATCATCACCTGGACGGTCTCTGTGTGGCCCAGGGCAGCGGCGTGCATGAGCGGGGTCACGCCATGGAGGTCACACAGGTCAGGCTGGGTCGTCGACTGGAAGAGAGAAACAAAAACATTGACTGAGGGGAGAAGAACATACAAATAATACAGTCAAAATTGTCCAAGACGGCGGCCAACCATTGTCGAGGGGAGCGTAGTTGTCTTAGAAAGGTACATGTACTTCTTGGACAGTGTCGTTATAACAGAAAAGGTACAACGGGGGATTGGTAAGTGGTCGTTTGTACCGGTGACTTTCTTAGATAGACAAAGGGCCGTTAAAGAACGTTGGATTGTACATTTAGTGATACACGTAATTAATAAAGAAGAGACACGTTGACTGACTTGGTTTCCATCATATTCCATTTCTTTTCAACGTGGCGTTAGGCAGAGTCGCACACTAAGCAGTCGAAATGAAGTTCCTAAGACACTTGAAGAGTTCTCAAAGGAAAAAAACCAAGGCAGAGGTAGATCGAGAACATCTCACGTATAGTGGCACAACTAATCCTCAAATATCTCTTTAATGGGTTAATGGAGGTCACCCATACTTTGCAAAGCAGACTGTATCTATTTATCTCAACTTAATCATAATGTATTTCAACAACAATTCCAAAGATATCCATTAGAAAAAAAATCCACAAAAAACAATGACACGAAAACAACGTGTCCAGTCAAATGTTGACCTATGGACTTACAACTGCGTCCTCTGTTTTTATTGTTCGGTCCTTCAAACTCGTCTTCATCCTCGTCATTTCGCCAGCTTATCTGCTATCAACTCGTCACTACAAGCTCTTTGTGTTGGCAGATTATTTTGGTGAAGATCTGTTATTTGAAAATCATTCCAGAAAATATTCCTAAAGACCAAATAATATTATATTATCAAGTTCACAGAACGTTTGATCCTTCAAGTTAAGAAAATCAATTGAAACTCAAATAAATTCCCAATGAAAGAAATATTGAGAAGGCCGTGTAGGCATATGTGGTGTCTTCATTCAGTTGTATCGTGTTTCCCTTTGACATGCTCGGCGTGTTTGTCTGAGCAAGATGGTCGTGTTGGGAAGAGATACCCAAAGCTCTGACGTCACTGGCACAAGATGGGTGCGTTCACACAGTCGACACCAACGTTGGCGCACCTCGTATCAGGAACAGGTTCCGACAGATATTCAACAAATCGGTCGTTGAGTTAGAACATTAGGGGACCTCATCCACTTTTTGTTGTTGCATGCAACCATAGACACATTCAGTTTGCAAAGTGTAAGACTACGCCAAACGACAGTTTAAAAGTGACGTAAGACGGAGTCTTACACTTACACTGAGCAGTCGTTTTGATCAGTGAATAAAGGCCAACTCGAGCTGAGTTGGATACAAATTTCAATAGACAGACAGATATACTCAACAAAACCTCCCCCATTGAGAATATTAGACTAAAGTCTTCGGAGTTGTTTGAATATTTCAACAGAGCAGTAGACGTTGAGGTTAAGCATGCGGCTCCCTAACATATCCTCATAATATTTGCTAGGGATAAAATATGTGCGAATCCCATTCTACACGAATCTGTTAACCTAATCTTTTCCCATTGCTCATCTGTTCAAGTTTCGTGTTGCATGCTATATCAAGCGAACTGAAGATGAAACTACAGTGTTTAAATTGTAACATCGTGTCTACTTATTTTACCATTTGGCATATTCCTTTTTATTTGTAACCATTTCTCTCAAATCCCATTGAGGTTTTCCCTCTCCTATCTGAACGCACCCTTTTCCATCCCGACAACAGAATTAAGTCTCGGTTGCCATGGACGCTATCACGAGAGTACTCTCGAGTCCAAAGAACGTTTTCCCTTCTCTCTCATCCGCAGCGGGAGAGGAAAATAGCCTGCTCCAGGGTTCTTTGGTCCCGTAGGTCAGGACACAATCGGATTTGGTAGAATTCCTGGCATATTTGGCCGCATCAAGCGGGTTTATTGTGACGGCGGACGTCAAAGGCTTGGCTGGTCTGTCGATTTCCTTGTATCAGACAGGGTGACCTTTGGCATGTTGTGGTTTGGGTTTTACAACGATTTCAACACTGTGCGGTCATCTACAAGGCAGACCTCCAAATTTAGCTTCTAGCACTTATACGAACTACTTGCATTAAACTAAACTTAGTTTGCATCTCCTTTGGGATCAAACCGGATGGAGAACGTTGAAGACTTCCTAAACAACTCAAGTCCCAGAACACCCCATTGGGGACTGGAACCAGTGTCCTCCGCAGCACAGCTTAGCCGGGTACCAACTGACTTAAAGGCTCGCCTTTAGGAAAGGGGGCCTTCTATTTCTGTAAGTTTGCGCAAAGGAAGAATGCACTATGTTTGTTTTATCTAAAATGGACATTTTAAATTCTAATTAGAAGGGACATTGGGGAAGGGACGGGGTGGAATTGGTATTTGCTGAATTTTGTTCTAGGAAGATATTGTGAGCACAGATAGAAGCTGTCAGATTTAGGCTCAGGCAACGTTTACCAAAGATCACACAATTTTGAGCTCATTATACGTACCATGCACTAGGAAGAGAGCGTGATGAGGGAAGCATACTTTTTAAAAAATGAAGCAATAACTTTCATGTGTTTTCAAAGCTCCTCCTCCCCCTCCCCTTGTCTTTGACAAAGGAGAAGTGGCGTCGGTGGCCTAGTGGTTAGGCTCTCTGAATCGCAACCGTAAGGTCGTGGGTTCGAATCCCGTCAGGGGCCCGACGTTGTGTCCTTGGGAAAGGCACTTTACACGAGTTTTCCTCACTTCACCCAGGTGGAAATAGGTACCCGGCTATAGACAGCGAAAGATCTAGTCAGTTTGTTAGTGTTTGAGCGGTTAATCAGCTCCTTGCATTGTATTCTTCCCGGGAAGCTGAGAATGTTTCGGAGTGTTCTATGGTCCTCTGGGGGTAATAATATAGTGTAAAGCGCATAGAGCCTGCTGTTGAGCGGGGATATGCGCTATACAAATGCTATTTATTATTTATTATTATTATTATTATTATTATTAAAATAAAAAACGAGATATCAAGAGCTCAAAGTAAGAATGGTAAAAATCGTTAACAATTTTAAGTTTCTTCCGTCCCACAGGCGTTTACAAAATAATACTCTGACAATCATCATAAAAGAAGTGTTCAACTTTTACCTCCAAGACTTGTATGAAGTAATTGATCGCTTGCCTTGCCTCAGTCAGGATAAACAACGTGAAACACACAGTATCGACGGAAAGCAGCTAAAGAGAACAAGCACAAGGAGGAAAACTAAAACTCCGCCACAACAGATATTTACAACATTATACCCCCAAACAGCGAGTCTTCAAGCAATATTGACTGACCAGAAGCGCTTCCTCAAAGTGCCTAAAGACTGTGGTTACCCGAGTCTTTTCGACCATAAGCGACAGACATGGCGTTCTGAATAGATAATGATCGAACGCAGCACATTTCTTTACAATGGTCCCATGTGGAATTGCGTGTTTTGCTACCCCAAAGTAAAATTTTCATTTTTAAACACTGTTCCCTGACTAGAATGTTTCAACTGATTGCGCATCTAATTTCCCGTGGGCTCAGGCAGTCACAAATAGAGTTAGATTTTCCATAATTTAGTCTACGCATGACCCTGGACCCCCCCCCCCCTCCACACACACACTCACACATACACACCTCATTTTCTCCCACATCGCAAAGGGTCACACGCCATGCTTATTTTCGGAACATTCTTGTCTAAATTTATTCGATAATGCCTGGGCTCTAACTCTAACTCCATGACGCAAAGTTTTGAGAAAATGGAATTCAAAGATTCACACTCTTACAGCTAAAATATTTTACACCTAATGCATAAGGCGTAAAGTGGAGACAAATATGCAAGTCAAATTGTCTCGAGCCTCTGGCACAGTGTGCAGGGCATCTGTGTCAGTAATATCATGTAGTGTATAACTCAGTTATTTACAAAAAAAGTGGAGTTAGAAGCTTGTATTATCCAAGGACGTCCTGGGTCTACTCAAAAACAATACCAGAAAGCTATCTTGTCTCCCGAACAAGTACACACAAATTTTTTAAGAATAAGAAGTTGTATGTATACTAAATGTGAGGCATCGTGATGAAATCAGGCGCTTGTCAAAGTAACGAAATCGAAGAAAACGGCATTTTTCTTCCTTTTGGCAATGTTTGTCGAATTTTTACTTTTTGGCTCAACACCTTTTATGTCCATTAAAAATACATTGCTGTGTGGCTCTTACTGAAACACGTCAGACAATGCAAATTTACAGTTTCCAAGGACTCTAAAGCTTTGGATGTCACCAAACTTTGGAGGCCACTTTCTCACTAATTTTACCTCTGAAACAAGGCGACCTCCACCTCATTCAATTGCAAATATTTCGACTTCTATTGAAGATAGATGGGTACTTTTTCTCCAAAAGCAAGACAAACAAACACGCTTTAAGGTAATAACGTTAACTCCATAATTTATGCCCCAAAATTGACGACCGTAAAAACACATGCAGGTATACATAAGAATTTTAATTTATATATTACTCTCATTAAATTCAATATAAAAAGAGAAGTAAAGCTGACAAAATGTACTTATCACATTAGATGCATCATTCAACCACTTGCAAGAATTTAATTACGAGACCTTTGGAGTTATATACTCGTAGATACACACTCTAAAGAGCAAAAAACATCTATGCTTATTTTGACAATAGCCTTATGCTAGATGGTAAAAAACTTCTTTTATATCTTTCTTTCTTTGTTTTTAGAGGTACATATCTGCCGCTGCGTGATCTAACAATTTGCGAGGAAAGGGGGTCTGATGGGTCGTTTATAATGTTCTTTTATATTTTTTTTACTTGTGGTGTTACACATTTCATCAATTCTAGTAAAATCTTATCCAGAGATCTTGCTGGCTTTCTTAATTGCTCTGTCAAAAATTTCTTTTATCTTTCACCTTACAATTACCAGCCCAGCAGCAAATACAAAATAATAGCACGCTTTGAATCATAGAATTGTATAAAAGAGACATAATCTTATTATCAACACGGAAACTTCTTAATTTCCTTAAAAGGTGGGATATGATGTAAAAACGGTCTACAATTTAATGCTTGCGGTGGGATCCTATATTAGCGCATTTAATACTACCATGAAGAAGTGACGTATCTCGTACACAAACATTGGGAACAAAGCCTTTTTTATTTGAAGAAAAAAATCAATTCGTTTTTTTATCCTCAAGCCCTGTCTGTGATATTGCACATGCACTGTCAAGGGCTCTTTTCTAAAAGAGAGAAGCGTTTGCAGTGTATGATCTTTACAGGAAATTAAATACTTTTTTTTTTTTAATTTACTTTCTCCAACCGCTACTTGCATGAGAAAACCACAGTTCCTGTCCAACTACTAAGTTTTCGGACGAGTGAAGAACATTATGCATTTGTGGTCGGGATTTGGTTTTCGGTTAGTTTGTTTTTTAATGTAAATATATTACAAGTTCTTAGTGGTTGAAAGCTAGCCCTTCCTTTTGTGCTATATTGCTAATATATTGTTTCTCTGTCTCTTTGTTTATTAACATTTCAATATTTGAAGTAATCTAATTGTGTTTTGTTCTGTTTAGATTTATAGTACAATTTTACTTTTACGCTCAAGGCCAACTTGTTTCATTTCGTTTTACTTCAGTTTAGGTCGGTTCTGTCTAAATTGCCGGAAACAAAATAGGTGATTTTCACTGCTATTTCTATCAAGGTTCTGTACAGTCTTGGAGA